GAATGAAGATATTTAAGAGAAGGTGGGCGTGACCCCCATAGAGGACAAGATGCGGGAAGCAAGACTCAGATGGTTCGGGCACATTCAAAGGAGGAGNCTATCGGCTGGATGTTATTATACCTTCCACCTTTCATCTTTTTAGCATTTCTATATTTCCTACATTTCTTATATTACTGTTATTTTGTAGTTTATGTTATTTTATGTTATTTTATTATGAGTCAATTGATCGTACTAATATATCGTCTCTTGTTACTTTCTTGAGCCGAGGGTCTCCTGGAAATAGCCTCTCTGCCCCTCGGGGTAGGGGTAAGGTCTGCGTACATATTGCCCTCCCCAGACCCCACTTGTGGGATTATACTGGGCCGTTGTTGTTGTTGTTGTTGTTGTTATTCTCCCACTTTTACTCTTCCTAGCATTTGAAGAAATCAAAAAGTATCCTTCATCTTAGAGGGAGAGCCAGGTGAAAAGGACCTCTGCACCTCCAATCTTGAGCTTGAAGGTTCGTGTCACGAAGGGAGCAAAGTGGAGAATGGCCATTGTTAGGCAGGGCGGTTGGGGTGGTCAGTTTACCATATAAAAAAGTAAAGAGAAGAAAAGGATCCTTCATTTTAGTTTTACGCTTGGACCCACTTGAACGAAATAATCCATATTTCAAACTCCAACCTAATAATTTGTTGTAGGTTAACGGTCTTTCTTACAAATCATTCAAAGTCAAACAATGACAATCAAATTGAATGGGCACTAAGTGTTCATTTTTTACAGTTTTAACTATTATTTTAAGCATGTCTCTTCCTTCCTATGCACATGATATTAGTGATATAAGTTGTCAATGGGTGGATTTGAAAACTTACATAATATTTCTAACCAGTAACTAAACTTTGGGTTTAACTTACCACTTATATTAAGTGCGCTATAATCTAGATCAGTGCTTTCACCACAACAAACTTCATAATATGCTTGCCCTTCCTTCCATGGGGTTAGTATATTGTTAAAAATGTTCATAAAACATGCAGTGATAACCACCAATCTAATCTTGAGATGATCAACCTTACCTTCAGCACTTACCTTTACCTCGACAGTAAACACCCATCAACATCCTAAGTTGTGAGGACTCCTCATTTTTGATGCCGAACCCGTCTCGACACGACACTAAGATGGGTATGGGTGCGGGATACGTTTGGGATTCGGTCAACCAACTTCGGATACTTTGACTGGAGTCCATGGACAAATTTGGGAGGAAATTGAGATTTTGATTTCATAAAATAAAAGATAAAATAGATTTACGACATGAGAAATGGCATACGTTCAACATTATAGTCCTTTTGTCTCATATTCGCTGCTACAATATACATGTAAGTTTTTCATAGAATATCTCTCACAATTTAGAATATCTTTACAACTCTATTTTTATAATGTTGAATTTTCTTGGCCGAATCCCAACACTAGTATCCATACCTGATCTGCATCCCCGAATCTTAAAATTAAGATTTTGCCGAATCCGACTCTCGGATCCATACCTATATCAGATACCCGCACCCGAGTTCGAGCAACTTAGGCGACATCAAACTATTTTTTGCCTTGAGGTAAAGGAACTATCTACCAAGTATCATTATCATATAAAACAATCATTTTCTCAATATATCCTGATGCCAATCTGGATGATCCATTATCCCCGCCACAACGATAGCTATTTTGACAGTGGATAAGTTTGTAACAAAAGCATATTATGTAGGTGAGACATAGTGATAACTTAAGAAACTATAAGTGAGTAGTTTGATTACCTTTTCAAACAGCTTCATCCGATGATTGCTTGACCGAAGCAGAGAATGTCGTTAAAGCAGGCAATGAGTCACCACGTGGACTTTGTGTACTTAGCATGAACGAAAACTTCAACCAGAAATAACAAGCTTCAACAAAGTCCATCAAATGCATTTTCTTAGGGTACTCTCATCTAAGGGTTACAACTAACAAATGCTATGAACCTACTACACAAGTATTTTGTCTCAGCAAATGTAACATTCAAGACATCCACATACTTCTCATCCAATCCACTTAAGCCATCAAATGTTACATTCAAGCTATGTTGCGTGGACTCTCCAAAATGATGCCGCACCCGTGTCGGATCCTCCAAAAATACACTATTTTGGAGGATCCAACACGTATACGGTACCATTTTCGGAGAGTCCGAGCAACATAGGGAAACAGATGCCACTTACCTTGCACTAACACTGTCTTTTATTAGTCGTATCCGTACTTTGATCCAATACCCCCAAATCCTAAAATTTGTGTGATGACGAATCCAACCTTGAGATATGCACTCATATCAGATACCTGCACCCGAGTNGTAACATAGCATTCAAGACATCCACATGCTTCTCACCAAATCCACCAAATCAAAAGGCCGTATGTACAGTTGTTGTCATTCCAACTTTTCTGACTCCAGCTCTTTCATATATGACCCTAGTTGGAGCACACCTTTTTAATCATTCCAGATAGCCAGACCAAGTTTAATTAAAAGTATACAACACCCAATCCTTACCTACTTTAGAGTTGACATATCCAAATGTGTTGTTTAAGTTGTATGCCTATACCCTGTGGCATGTCTTTTATTTAAACAATTTCAAAAACTTCTTATTTTTTTTCTTGTGCAGTGTTAATCCATTTAGACTTATTGGAGTTGGACTGACAGTCTGGACCTTTGCTACTGCTGGTTGTGGCCTGTCAATTGATTTCTGGTCCATTACCATATGCAGAATGTGAGTAGATTATGCTGGTTCTTTCAATAGCTGTCTTCTATTACATGTTTTTTGCACTTCTTTTAGTTTTTTTCTTTTGGTGGGATGTTGATCCTATTTTTTTCTAAATTTATTTCCTCTACCAGGCTGGTCGGTGTTGGTGAGGCATCTTTCATAAGCCTTGCTGCTCCATTCATTGATGACAATGCCCCAGTTGATCAGGTTTGATTTGCAGCGTGATTCAGTTATGCAGCGGTGCTGACTCTGAGTACCTGATGCATGCTTGTACTGCTGTTCTTTTGTTTCTGTTTTGAGACTAAAAAAGATTTTGATTAGTTCTGCATGCTAATATCTGTTGCTAATGCGATGGGTTGTTCCTCTGCTTGTAGTTCTGGTTCATTAATGTGCAACATTCTTTATGCTTATGAGACAATGTGTAAGCTTTTGCATCCTTTTGTTTTAAAAAATGTTATGTCTATTTAACTTTGTGAGGTGTCCAATAAGGTATAAGCGTATTAAATGGGGCAGTGATTACCTTTGCTGTACATTTGAAGGATTCTCTGCATTGACATGTTACCTAGTCCATGGATTACCATGTCTTTTGATAAAGAAGAGCAATCACAATTCCTATAGTCAAATATTTAAGATATTGTAGGTTAGGCTCGATTGAACTCTCTTGTTGGCGTGCTTAAAGCAAGTTGTGAGGCAGTTATTCCTTTTTAATTGGTGGATCTGTTGAACGTATCTAGATGTCATATTCAATTTTGTTCATGATGGTATCTGTCAGAAAATGAGCACAACCAGGCTTTATGCAAGTTGTTTCCTAGAATTATCGTTTTCCGCTTTTACTAAACTGTATGGTACCATGTTTTTATTGTTATTCCTTAAAAACATGGAGAAGATGCTTTGATATGGACAACAATATTTCATAATGGAAGTGAACACTCTTTCTAGTTAAACCTTCTTGTACATCCCTAGAATTATCGTTTTCCGCTTTTACTAAACTGTATGGTACCATGTTTTTATTGTTATTCCTTAAAAACATGGAGAAGATGCTTTGATATGGACAACAATATTTCATAATGGAAGTGAACACTCTTTCTAGTTAAACCTTCTTGTACATCCCTAGAATTATCGTTTTCCGCTTTTACTAAACTGTATGGTACCATGTTTTTATTGTTATTCCTTAAAAACATGGAGAAGATGCTTTGATATGGACAACAATATTTCATAATGGAAGTGAACACTCTTTCTAGTTAAACCTTCTTGTACATCCCTAGAATTATCGTTTTCCGCTTTTACTAAACTGTATGGTACCATGTTTTTATTGTTATTCCTTAAAAACATGGAGAAGATGCTTTGATATGGACAACAATATTTCATAATGGAAGTGAACACTCTTTCTAGTTAAACCTTCTTGTACATCCCTAGAATTATCGTTTTCCGCTTTTACTAAACTGTATGGTACCATGTTTTTATTGTTATTCCTTAAAAACATGGAGAAGATGCTTTGATATGGACAACAATATTTCATAATGGAAGTGAACACTCTTTCTAGTTAAACCTTCTTGTACATCCCTATTTTGTCTTGTCTACAAATACATCCAATTATATATAGTCTGATGTGATCACTAGTTTTAACATGGTTCTCTAACTTTATAGCTGCTCCATGTGTACCTGCTAAACGTATCTGCTTCTCATGTTTGTCTTTAATGTAATTTCTGCATGCTAATTGCTCTTCTTGTCAGAAAACAGCATGGCTGGGAATATTTTACATGTGCATCCCAACTGGGATTGCTGTTGGCTATGTATATGGCGGATTGGTGAGCTCGCTTTAGTTGCTATGACTTAATGTTTTCTTGTGTAATGTTTTTCTTGCGGAGCATGTCAAGTTTTACTAAAGCTCCACTCTATGGTAGGTTGGAAGCCATCTTGATTGGCGTTGGGCATTCTGGATAGAGGCATTGCTGATGCTTCCTTTTGCAATTTTAGGTTTTGTGATGAAACCGTTGCAATTGAAAGGTGACGTAATATTGATCTTTCAGTCCTATCCTATATGCACTTTGATTTCTGAAAATGTTTGTACAGGTTTCTCGCACACGGGATCACAAAAACCAGTGACTTCTGCGCAGACTTCTTGCCCAGAAGCAGGTATTTGCACTCAATCACTCATATGGTTTTCATTTCACTTCCTCTACCTAGTTCAACAGGGTTCATGATTCGTGGCCTAACTTTCAGCATTTCACTCACAAGGTTCCCATATCTGGATAATGTGCTTGTGAGGTGCATCCTCCGAAGGTGTTACTCTGTGAAGAGAAATGTTATATAAGCAAATGATTGCCAAAACTTGGAGGAGCACACATCTAGATAGCAAGTTGTGTTGGGAGAATTTCTTGTTTTGCACAGATGTGACACAGCTAGAACAATTGGAGGCATGAGCAATGACAATAACACCTGAACTGCTAAAATAATACCGCACCCTCCGTCCCATCTTATATGATGCACTTTGATTGGGTCATTGGGCACAAAATTAAAAAAGAAAGACTCTTGTAACTGTGGTCTAAAACAAGCCAGAGATATTTGTGTGGCTATAAATCATCTCATTAAGGGTACACTTGGAAATTTAAAGTTAAATTCTTCTAAATTTAGAAAGGTATCATTCTTTTTGGGACAACCTAAAAAGGAGAGTGCATCACATAAATTAGGACAAAGGGAGTAGAAGTTAGGTGGACACTTTTGTTGATGTACAACTAAAATGAGAGAATGTCACTTGAAATATTTTGGCCTATCTTATGTAGATATGCACCGGTAAATAAGTTTTGATCTAATGGAATAATTTTGATTTTCACATGATGGTCGCCTTGTCGGAAATAGGTCTTCCTTTGACTGATTTCTTCTTCAAGACTTTATTGGTATGAATGCTGGGAGTTAATTTTGTGTGTGCTTTTTTGCTTCTATTGCTCAAATTGGAGGAACGATTCATATAAAATTTGGCTACTTTGACTTTGTCTAAAGGTTTTACTCACTTTCATACTGAAACTCGAGATTTATGATGAACCAAAATCATTGTGTGGTAGGTTGCAGCTCTTTCATTCATATCATGTTGATTTTATTGCCTTGTACAACTTAAGAATCAATTTACCAGTATAAAGTGACGAGTAATTCAAAGTGGTCAGGAAATAGATAGGTACTTCAGCTACAAACATTTAATACAAACATTAAATGAAGATAGCTTCAATACCAACGTTCTTTAATTAAAACTCTGGTTCAAATATATTTGAAACTATAGGCCACTAAGAGATAACTCGACTATGATGAATATGGTTAATGTTACGTCTTTTCCTTATTATTTGTTTTCTTTACTAGGTTCTTTCTTTGTGGTTATATCGATGTCACCATAATTTGATCTCAATTTCTTGTCATTAATGCAGTTGCTTCTACTAGTATAGATGGTTCATACCCAACAAGAAATGATTCCAAGGATGAGTAAGGAACTTTTATAAAACCATGGTCTATGACAGCCAAGATTTACAATCATTCTTGCAAACATGATTGTGATAGGAAGTCACCGATGACTGTTGACGACTTTACCATGTGTCTTATTTTTCTCTCTTCTTTTGCAGTTCAAAAAGTGCACCCAGAATTTTGAATCAGTTGACAAGATTTTGGAAGGATATGAAGGTGCTTTTGCTTGAAAAGGTCTACATTGTGAATGTCCTAGGTATTGTATTCACTTGTGCGACTGTCGTTTTGATGCTTTTTATTTTTACTGGCATGTGGTGAACCTCTTTTATGCTTCCTACTACTTTTTACAAATTTGATGAGCTCGTCTAATGCACTAAACTAGCTAGCACTCAATTGCTATGTACTAGATTCTGATTTCTTCTACTTGCATGGTTCCTTGCAGGATACATAGCATATAATTTTGTAATAGGTGCTTATTCATACTGGGGACCAAAGGCTGGCTATTACATATACCATATGGTAAGCATTTAGAGCCATTACTTCACTTCATAACCATTCTCAAAAGAAAAGTGAATTTTTATGTAAATCTGTTGATAAACTCTTTCTTTGTCTCCAAGATCGACATTTCTTTACAAGTTTAATGAGCCCAGTTGGTAAATACTCCATCCTGTTACATTGTTTTTGTTGCATGAACTGGTTATGTTTTTCATCTTATTGTGGATCAGTCTCGCATTTAACCAAGTTAAACAAAAAGCACCAGTTCATGTTAGCTGATTTGCAATTGGCGCCTTCTGCAGAACAATGCAGATCTGATGTTTGGAGGTATTACTATCGTATGTGGAATATTTGGAACCTTAGCAGGAGGCTTTGTTCTGGATCGAATGACTTCCACAATATCCAATGCCTTTAAGGTAGACATCTCGCATTCTGAAGGTTTTCTTTTTAATAGCTAAATCCTTATAAACAAATAACAATATCTAAATCTCTTCTTATTTAATCCTGTGTTTAATTCCAATATCATGTCCATTTAATCTGACATCAACTGGACTTTCTCAAACAAGGGTTGTGAACCTTCAGNTAATGTATGATTCCTTCATTATTCGCCAGGTTTAGCAAAACTTAACATTTTCAGGCATCAGACACCAGCATGCAAATAGAAAGGGGTAGAGATATAGAAACAATTTTTTTCATTAATTTGATAAGACTGAAAAAACAAACAAGATGTAACAACTTCAACATTTTCCTCTGAAATATTCCTAAAAACAACGAACAGCTTCTAATAAGACTAGCACACTCCGGGAGTAAAAAGTTTGCAACCACACCTAACTACACCTATGGTCTTAAGCAGACAACAACATTATATATGTGATTCGTGGTCATGGCATTGACTAAGAGCTCGCAAGCTCTTTCTAATCCCTCACAAGTCACAACCAACTAAAAGTGCCTTGATATGATTCTTTTCTTGGTGTAACGAGTAGCATTTTCTGTTAACCTATAACAAACACAATGACATGTAAGTTTAATTAGCTGAGAAATTATGTATTGATTAAGATCCATTTGAGGTATGTGACAAATTTGAATGTTATCCTTGCCAATTCATCTCCAAGAATCAAAGCATCTCAACAGACTTTTATACGCATCTTTGCTATATATCTGGTGGAATAGACAAAATCAACTATGCATAATAAGACTGAATGTGAGAGGAAACAACAACAACATCATACCCAATATAATCTCACATGGTGGGGGTCTGGGAAGGCTAGTGTGTACGCAGACCTTACCCCTACATTGTGAAGATAGAGAAGCTGTTTCCAATAGACTCTTGACTCAGGAAAGCATAAGCACCACAGTAATGAAAAGACAGACAAGAAGGGACAACACCGAGAAGCCATGTAAAAGCAACATAAAAAACATCAAGATATTAAGATGACCAAAATAAAAGAAACGACAGGTAGTCATAGGAACCTAATAACAACAGAATACGAGAGTACATACTAATACTACCGGTATGAACAAGAATATGAGAGAAAAAAATAAATCAAATTTATGCAAACCTTCTTCTCCTTCAACAAAACTATAGCTCCTGAATCTAACTCCAATGATCTCGATTAGCATATAAGTGGCAAGAATGAAGAAATAAAGGGACATCAATTGTTCTTCAACGACCAAGAATTCAAGAACTACGTACAGCCATAAAAACTGGTCAAGTACAAGGTGAAACCAAATTTGTCGTAAATATTATAGACTTGTGGCTCTTCGCCTCCTGGTAACTGCTGCCCATTCAAAATAAATTATACATAGTGTAACATTAGTCTTTTCAGCTTTGGATTAGTTGAACTTGATTTTTGATTGTTCAATATATGAATTTCAAGAAGAATATAGTAATAGCAGTTAATTAATGAAAGAAACTCAATTATATTATTATGGAATGTAACTTCTCAAATTCTCTACCTTTTGAGAGAACGAAGAGGAGAGAGAATTGCTAGTTTGTAAATTAAGCAATAACATAGCTGTTAAAGGGCATAAATGTCTATTAATCTTACATGGGCTTTTTAGTCTTTCGATTCTATACTTGGTGCTTCACACTTGTACAAATACATTACCAACACATTATAAAATGTGTAGTTTTGTCTTTTCCCTTCAAGAACTAAACCCAACACTAATTCTCTCTCCGTCCGATCCCCTCCCCTTCTTTTCTGCACACACCCAGAACCATGGAGGCATAAGAAAGGAATGGAGTGAATGTCTTGTAGAGCAGAAAGATCTACTCTTATCCAAAAGCAGTGCTGAATATGCGTTTTTATATGCATCAGAGCATCTCCTTAGTCATCACATTATCACAAGTATTGTAACATTTGTTTTGAAGAATTCCCGAAACAATGCCGGAAAGCCAACAATTAGTGCAACCAAAACTATTCAAAAGCCAACCACCACTTTCCTTTTTTTTTTTTTTTTTTTTTTGTTCTTTCTGAAATTCCCTGATTTCCCTCTCTCAATTTTACCTTTGATTAACAAACATGGAAGAAAAGGAGAAAACTGAAGGACTGACTTTGTTGGAGAAAGAATGGATAGGAGAAGTTCGCCAGAGGAATAAATAGACAGGAACATAGCCGTAGAAAAGAAAAGGGGAAACAGGATTTTCCAATGAAGAGGAAGAACGGGGTGGCGTGATTGGTTTTGAGGAAGAGGGAATATTGGTGTTTGGATTTTTTGCTGGAAAGACGAAAAAGCCCTCTTATTAGAAATTTTGTAATGCATTAGTAAGGGTACTTAAGAGAATTAGAAAATAGGTACAATGCTAACATGCTACCTTCATGAGTATGTTGTCAAGACTCATATATATATATAAATTCAGTAAAAGGCCCAAAAAGGAAAACTGGGTGGCACCAAAAGCCTTGACCTCTTCTCTCATTTTTTTGGAAAGGGGGAGCAAAGAACGACAAATTGTCTCCAGTTTTCGAAAATGTTTGGGAACTTGATCCCTCTTGTTATATTTGAAATTACTCAATCGATCAACCTTGTCTTGTATCGTGGTACTTATGGTATTCTTTGCATACAGTTACATTCTTCTTGTGTGTCCTGTCTTTCCTGAAAATGGTGTCTAAGGCATAGTAAAAGGTAATACATCATTTTGAAATAGGTTTTGAAATAGGACCTTAGCTCTCCCTGAAGTGTGTGTGGTCTATTACTCATCTTGTGGAAGAGAATGAAATGATGCAAAGGTTCCAATGCTGCACTCTTGTGTCCAGTCCTGCAAGTAATGTCAAGGCATCATGACATCAGAATTGCAACAAACACTCCTATAGTTCTCTCAGTTTCTTTTGTTTTACCCGTTAGATAGCTTTTTACTGAGATGTGGGCCTTATGGATGTCTATTTTTTACACTATAGTGCATCCTGTAGAATTTTTTCCCCCTTTTGAATATTCTGTTGCTTGATTTTGTTCCTTCTCGCTGTACCAGGTGTAACTTTTCTGACATGCTGATGGTGCTGATAACAGCAGTAGTGTAGGCCACAAATACCTTCTTAGACCGTTTATTCATTTGGCAATAATGTCGTCCAGGTTTAGAATTTTCTGCCAAGACAAGCATATGCTCAATCAAGAGAAAAGTAGCAATAAACCTTATTATCCAATGCTTGTTCAGGCATAAACCCCAAATTTATGGTGCTTGTACAAACCTTGTAATGAAAATTGGTGTACAGTTCTCACTAGGATGAAAAGTATCCAGGAAATGATTGATTCTTCTGGCTAATACAGCTCTTGTTTCAGTTTAGCACATTCTCTGATTGATAAAGTTCAGTTTTCATGTTAATCTCACCTATTTTCCTGTGGTGTATGTACTTGATATCCTTCCAATCCCAGCCACTGATGATGTTAGTGTACTACTGTATTGCAGCTTCTTTCAGTGGCAACATTTTTTGGAGCGATATTTTGCTTTGCTGCCTTTTGTTTTAAGAGCTTGTATGCCTTCATTGCTCTTTTTGCAATTGGAGAACTGCTTGTATTTGCGACGCAGGTAATTTTTTTTTCTTTATTTTATCATTTCGTATTGCCTACTTATATATCATAGCGCTTTTTTGATCATGTTATTTCTCAGTAGCATGCTTTATCTGAAGAAGATACCTTCCCCTTTTTCTTTGGTTCCTGTCTCGTGAGTCATGTCAGTAGATGTTGCATGTGAGACCAGAAGTCCAATTTTTTTAGGCAAAAATAATGATCCAGAACTATTAGAATTGGTTTCCAATAATTGGTGGTATCACTCAGGCTTTTTCCTTTCTCTTGGGTGTTTCCAAAATCAGTAACTGGCTTTCATATAGTTACTCCCATTCCCCAATTTAATTTAACATGCTTTTTAGTTGTATTTATCTCTCATTTGATGACTGTTGAGGGCAGCCCGGTGCACTAAGCTCCCGCTATGCGCGGGGTCCAGGGAGGGCCGGACCACAAGGGCCTATCTTACGCAGCCTTACCCTGCATTTTTGCAAGAGTCTGTTTCCACGGCTCGAACCCATGACCTCCTGGTCACATGGCAGCAACTTTACCAGTTACGCCAAGGCTCCCCTTCCCTTAACAATATACAAACGCCAAGTTTCTTTGATGACTGTATCAGCCAGTTTCTTTCTTCTGTAACAATATACACCACGAATGCAGGGCCCTGTAAATTATGTCTGTTTGCATTGCGTCAAACCAAGTTTGAGACCATTGTCTATGGCTATGTCCACTGTTTCGATTCACATATTTGGTGATGTGCCTTCCTCTCCTCTGGTGGGCGTTCTCCAGGTTTGTGTTATTTGTTTTGCAGTAAATATTTAAGGCCGTATGTTACTGATGCAATTCTTTTTTTCTCTAATTAAGTCTATGACAGTGGTCAATGGATGCTGTGACCTGATGTTGTTTTAAGCCGTACAGGACGTCCGTACTGATTTAGAGTTTTGTTATGCTACCAACAGATAAATGTGGCATGAGGCATCATCATTTACCAAATTATACATTTAAACCTCTTAGTCTATAAACAGGTTTATTCTTGAGGGGAATTTTGAAAAGTTTAGCTGTGGAAATCAAGGGACAATGATGAGAAATTCAAATATTTTCAGAAAAATAGAACTATTTCTAGTGCTTCTTTAGCAATGATAAGAATGTTGTTATGAATGTCTTTTTATTAGAAAAATGAGTTCTAAGACATGACAAGCCCTTGGATTTTGTATCCAATATCATCAAGTTGCTTTGTAATGGTGCAGTTGTGGTATGTAGTCTATCAAAGATGTCCATATGGCCAAATGAACCACTTGTCGAGGCATTAAATTATTGGATTTAATTTTTATGTACTAACAGTATTACTTGTTAAAAACCAACTGAACTGTACATATCAGTGTGGATTAGCAACCTGGAAAAGATGTCAGGTAATTTACTAATCTGTTAAACTTCACCATAATTTCTTGGATCTTTCAGTGTAAATTTGTATACTAAACTATTTTTTAGAATGACCTGTTATGGGTACGCAGTTCTTGCACTGCTAAATTGTGGCAATCATATAGTTGACTCTATGGTAGTGCCGAATATTTTACATATAAAACTGCTGATTAACATTATCTTTTTACAGGATCACATTAACAATTGGAGGGCTACTGCTCTAATCCTGACATCAGTACTGTTTCTAGCCTCTGGAATATGGTTTATAGGTAAAGATGCTGCGTTTTCTTATTATGATTTCAAAATTTTATCCTCCAGAATGCGTCCGTTTAATGTGGTTCAATAAAAGTTTTTGATTAAGCGGGGCGATTAAATATTGAATGTATCTTATGCAGGTATCTTTCTTCATAGTGTTGATAGATATAATGAAGAAAATGAGCATCAAGTTAGTATTGCTGATAGATCAAACACAATTCCACTTCTTGAGGAGAAATCTGCTGAAACAAGTCCAAGTCTCTGCTGATTCCCAGTTTACACTTAAAAATGTGAATTTCTTGTATGATTATCTTGTTTGTAAATTCTGGTCCACTTGCCAAAGGAAAAATACTTATATGTGTTGATGGGAATCATAGAAAGCTTCTTCATCTTCCAGGTGCGCTAAACTCACTAACAATTATTAGAGGTACAATTTCGAACTGTACAATATATTAGTAAAAATTGACTCCTGTCTTGTTGAGCCTTTTCTATTTCTGTTAATGCATGGAAATAATACTCAATAATAATTATATTAAATTTATTATTTCTGTAGTTAATTTTGGAATGAAATTTCGTCATATTATTGCATGTTTCATGTTTCTACTACTACTAGTGAGGGCGTGTCGGGGCATTGCCAATGCCATAGCAAAGATTGTAAAGTTTTCTTTTTTCCTCTAAATTTGCTTGGAATAATTTATTAAAAAAAAGTTGGTTGGAGCAGTTGGGGATTAAAGCATCTATAAAAGATCAGAGTGAACCGTGGGATAGTTGATCAAAGATAATCAAAGTTACTTGGTGATTTAGAGCGTTTGACTTTTGTAATTCGAATACAACTATTTGCATGATCAAAATAAATATACTCTCTCATCTTTTTCACAAAATAAAAAAATTATTATATTTTGCAATAATTCTCTTGAAGTGAAATTGAGTTATAACGTATTAGTGCTTAATATAACCTAGTTTTTTTAGAACTAGTTTAAACTTTGATTAATACATAGTATAATATTTCAATACCCAAAAAAAATAAAATGAAAAGATCTTAAGTTGCAATACTTCTAATATCCAATTCATTATTTAATAATACCTTACTGAAGAAACTTAAATCGTCCTCATAAAGCTGTGATAAAAAAATATCATAGATGGTGATAATTAAAAAAATTGATTAATTATTACTCCAGCTTAATAAAAATAAAATTACACTTAGAAAACTAAAACAAAAGAACATTAAGAAAATTACTCTATTATCTAAAATTAAAGCAACATCCCAAATATGTGTTTCAAAATCGAAGTTGTCAACTCAAGATTTTAGAAAACATTTTCTTTGGTAAATCGAAAATGATCTTTCTTTATTCAGGTTAAACAAATTTTCCAAAAAAATCTCAATTTTTATAGAATACAATCCAACACAAAGGCATAGAATTTTTCTCCAAAAATTTCTCAACGATGCATATAACAGTAAAATGTGAATCTTTGCCTTTTTAGAAGGAGCGAGAAAATTTCAATTTACAACCAACTAGCCCAAAAATAATAGGCTAAGATTCAACATTCATTTCTAATAGGTTCTCAAAATTACTATTTAATTTAAAAAAAAATTCCTCAAGCTTTTAAGTTAATTTTTGAATCAGTAACTGTGACTCAAATATTAGTTCAACAAATCAAATGCATTTGGGTAGTGAAAATTAGATTTTTAACAAGCTTAAATATGTGGGTTTAAATTCCAAATTTGTTTTTTTGAGAAATTTGGAGTGGTTGTTATTTAGTCTTGTTAGAAATAGTATAAGGAGGTTGTGTATAAAATTTGAAGTCATTTAATGGAGATTTGGACTCGTTTTGAACAAGAATTGCAACTGAAAATCGTGAAAGAAGTTCGTTTACAGACGTTTGTTATAAAGGTGTATAAAAGTATATAATAGTGTATAAGATGTGTTTATACACTCATATACACTATTATACAAGATTATACATAATTATACAAAAAACTGACTCCGTTTTCTTCCTTGCGTCTTTTCTGAAATTTAACTCAAATCTTGCCCAAATCTACTCCAAATTACTTCAAATTTAAATTTTGAACTCCTTTTGATATTTTCAATCAATTGGAATAACACCCAATCCAAACAACTAACAAACTCAAAATACTCATTTTCAAAAGCAAAGCTTTGAATGGTCTTCAATGGTGGACTTCTACTCTTTAATTTTCTTACATTGCAACCAGGTGACACAAGAGGAGAAGCAGAAAATACGGCCCCTTGAAACATATGTAGAAGATGTGAGAAGAAGAGAGAATGAAAGTAATGGTTGTGAGAACACAAATTTAACTCCATAGCTTTTAGAAGCAATGATTGTAAGAACATAGATTTTGAATTTGCCAGTGCTTTCAAAATAAGTACAATATGGGTCAGGTTGGGTAAAACTTAAAAATATGAACCATTTCTTGTTATGGGGTGAAGTCATGCGTATTTTCTTGTAATTCATCTTCCAGCGTGTCACCTTGAATCGATGATGACTAATTTTTTTTTATTGCCTTCTTTATATGCTTATCGGTATCTTATAGGATGGCTGGTGGGAACTATTCAACTTTTTTTAACATATCATTTCATATTGAAAAATTAATCAAGTATTGGTTGATGTTTGCAAGTATGAAGGGCTTGAGTTTATGCATATATTTGCAACTCTGGTTCTATGCGTTTGGCACTTTCAACTATCACCATGTGAAATTTTTTATGTACTTTATAGCCGATTAAATCTTTCTCATTTGAAATCCAGCTTAAATCAATTTGATTAGACTTTTATTTTTCATGAACACTCTTAGTCAGAAGATGCTTCTCAACTCGTCACATTACATTTTGAAAGAGTTGTCTATTCAAGTAGAGATTAAAACGATGTCTTTTATTATTATTTTGCACGAAGATATAATTTCTTAAAATTTTCTCTAACATCAACTTAACAACAACATACCTAGTATAGTCCCACAAATATTATTTGAGTTATCTTCAATGTCACGACCCAAACCGATGGGCTGCGACGGGTGCCTGAGTCCTACCTGTCAAACATACTTAAGCATGCGTCTAAGATATGAACCTGAATAACATCTGCTGAATTACGAAAATAACATACAAAAAGGAAACCTGCCTTCAAGGCATATGTACGTATATATGCAGAATACAGTGGGCGAGCTGGCAAGGCTGCTACAGACAACTATACATCCAAAACTGAAAGCCGTCAAGGCCACATACATCCCAACTAGACACAACTAGACATACTGTCTACAGACCTCTAATAGAAACATAGCTGTACAAAGACGGGACTGAGCCACGTCATACCCATATACATATATATATACATATACATACATACATACATACATATATATATATATATATACATACATACATATACATACACATACACACACACACAAACGTATCATACCCAAATCAAAGCAGCTCCGGATCAAGTGGAGCACGCCAACTCTCGCTGGATCCTAAGGAGGGGGACCGTCAGCTTTCCTACTTGCACGTACGGGCATGAAACATATGCCCCGTGAAATAGGGCGTCAATACGAAAAATGCACTGAGTATGTAAGGCATGAAAATTAGTACGTAATAGACATAGATGAAACATGAAATATAGAAACACGTTTTTGAATCTGAATAACCTTGTAAATTTTAAAACGTTTATAACATCATGCACATGTGTATAAATATCGTTTCATGCATAGGTATGGGTGTACATAATATCATCAAGCCACTGAGGGCATCCCATCATATCGTC